AGAGATTCGGTCCCTAAATGCCCGTATCTCAACACTATGTTTTGCAGGTCTTGATAACAGCGTACATAGAGTTTGCACCATTTGCAAGCTCCCTCTTGGATCTGCTCTGCCGTTTACTTTCAACAAGGAAGGGTTGCAACCTCGGTGCATCTCATGTTCGCCTGTGAAAGGTTTCACCCCTCGCCCTAGGCCACACTTTGGTAAGCTTGGCGTGCCCTTTCTTCTGCACATGCTCTGTACGTATACGTAAACACATTTGTGACAGTATTCTGCTTCAGTCATGCAAAAATGCGCTAGATTGCAAAAATTTAGTTACATAGTGAAACAAGCTGGTCTTCATGCTTGGAGTGCTTGGAGTGCTTACCAGTGCAGAGACCCTTAATTGTACCTAAGCTTTTTGTTTGTTTAAAGAGGTTAGGAATATTACCTCTTCCAAGGGCATCCGATGTTTGATGTCGAGGCGCACCTAAGCATCTGAAATTCCTTTTCCAGCAGCTTCTGAGCAAGGCGTCACTTGGGGAGATCGCTCTGAAACCAAAGGCTACTTGGAGCGGGAAGCAAATGCGCCGCATCTACATTGGCGTACGCCTGTTGCTGTGGGTGAACCCATCTGCCGAGGATCAAGGCCGGATCCTCGGGGCTTGCTCCCATCACGGGTTGATCCAGATGGGAGGGAGTCTTGCTGTGGAGGTAGCGGCAACCCCAACTTCCCGGATGGACTCAGACAGGTGCTCTGTCATGGGAAAATGCCTCCGTTTTGTGACTGACACCGAATACCGGTGGAGCGCCTTAGGAAACGACATAATGGTAGGCTTCCCGTTTGCATCTGTCTAGATCCAGTGCCTTTGACAGCGGAGGAGGTGCGAAGTTACAAAGATTGGGATAGAACCCCATCCTTTGAGATGCATGGAGGGCTCGGTACTGGCCAGAATGGCATTGGAACTATAGTAAGGACAATATGGTGACGGGAGTGGTTAGGTTGCGCGGCATGTGAGTTTGGCTATGCTTTATTGCTAAATAGGTTGCCGTAAGGATTATAATGCACGGTTATGCCCAACCCCAGTGTACTCAAACTAAATACGCCCCATGCATCGCGCCTTATGGCTTTAAGAGCTTTGAAATGTCAAAATGTGATGTGCACAAATGTCTGGTGACCGGCTGCGCTTGGTTGGCGGCTCGTTGCTGGACCAACTCGCCGATCAACATTTTGCGGACAACTCCAGCCACCAAATGTTTGAAGGCTTAACACGGTCTCACGGTTGGCCTGTCGGCACCCATGTACAAGAATCCCTTACTGCTAAGCTGCTAATCAAAAGTATCAAAAATATTAGTTGCATCAATGTCATTGAGCTATTATAAGTCATGTGACGGTTGAAACCATGTACTTGAAAGTTGGACGGCGGGCCGTACAATCACTGGTGCCCAGCACTGGCTGCAATGAATCCAAGTGGTCAAGTGGGCGCCACGCCCGCTGCTCGATGGTCTCTTTTCGTCCTCGATCTAGCGATCTGTGACCTATTAAAGCGACAGGTAGGTCTAGACTCATAGGGAAAACGCTGGCTGACCGACTCAGTAGGATAGCTCCGCTAGGGCCCGGCTCATCTGGAGGGGACTCAGCTGGAGTCGACGTCTTCACGAGATTACCATAACATTGTCAAGTTTGTCAACCGTCCGACTCTTATACTTACGCACGCATTTGAGACTCTTCGATTGCATGAATTTAACTTTGCGTTGAAAATAGTTAAATAATCAAACGTAAATACGCTCTTCGGAAGGGAGCGTTCCGGCAAAATTGAAGATCATCAGAAAGCGAAAACCGAGCATTCACACCGCATCGCGGTTGAGCATTTATTTTTTCCACGCGACCGCCCGAGTCAAATTTGAAGGTCGTGCTCCTGTAATAGGTCTACCGTCTACCGTTCCGGGCAAAATCTGAAAGTGCCACTTGTCATTCATAGAGGCTGTCGGGTGACACTTGTCGCAATCTGTGCCAACGCTTTGTTGATGATCAACTTCATTGACAATTCGATGCGGCCCGCCTGTCGCTGCCGGTGCGGCATTTGGACCGGGCCCGGCCGGTAGATCAAACTTTAAATAGGCACGGCCCTGGCCCTGCGGCCTGCCGCCGCTGCCCGGCTGCGAACCGGTCGCCAGACAGGGCCAGCAGGTGCAGCTGAGGAGGACTTGAAGTTGAATCAAGAGTCAAGACGTCATGACTCATGAGACTCAGAGTCCCAATGCGTGCACTTTTACTCCGAGTCCTAGTGATCGCATTTGACGGCTGAAGCCTGTGAAGGGCGATCACCTGGAAAGCGCCTGCCGGACCTAGGCAGTTTGCAGGGTTGGTGTCTCCTCCCTGGTTGTGCACAGTTTTTTGCCTGTTCAGGAAAGATGGATGGCCTGACAGCAATTGCCAAGAGCGGTGGTGCGCTCACTTCCCTGCAGGCGCTCGTCCGGCACCCCTGCAACAGCTCATCCCAGCCCCTGCAGCCCTCTTTCTTGGGGAGTGGGTGTGGATCCTTGCCAGCGGCGGCGTTGACCACTCCTGGCAGAGCGTGCGGCGCGTGTCTGGCCGGCGCCTCCTTGCCATCCTGCACCTTGTTGTCCAGCTGTAGCTCGTCCATCACCGGGCTGCAACTGCCGCAGGCTGCCCCTGTTCGCAGACGCGCCCTGGCAGCCCCACCGCGATCTGGGGTGACCCGCGCAGCTGCAGCAGTGACGCAGGAGGTGGAGGTGAGGTGACCACTGCGTGCACAAAGGAGTCGATTAGGGAGTGGGAGGTGCTGGGATTGTCCATCTAGGAAGAGCTATTGAAGCAAGTCGTCCTTTCCTTAGTTGGATTTCTGGCTGCATTCGCTTGTGCGTGTCGTTGCTACCGTCTGTAACTTGAAACCTGTGCTCCTGCATTCGCTCTGCCCTGGCCACAAAGCACTTCTTGACTCAGTCTGATGGTGATTCAATTTGAATTGGCTCGAAAGATGCCTTGCTCGCTTTGCAGGAGATGAGCCGCCAATTTGCGTTGGACAATGAGTCAGATCTGCGGGTGAGTCTCCTGCTGGGACACCCCCATGCCTGTGCTGCTGGCACGGCTGCCGCTGTGCTGCCAGTGCTGGCTTGATCTCCCCTGCCCCCTGCCCCTGCTGCCAGCCTGTCTCCGCGCTGCTCTGTCCCCCACCGCTGCCCTGCCTCCTTGGCCCCCCTTGCCTTACGCGGGTGGCTGCTGCTGCTGCTGCCAGGTGCGCATCGTGGGCGAGGAGGGCAGCACCTGGAAGCGCTGCGAGCTGCGCGTGTCCGGCCGCCTGGCGGGCGTGCCCCTCGTGCTGCACTGGGCCATTACGAAGCCCGGCCGCCCGTGAGCCCCTCGCCTGAAGTTTGCCACAGCGCTCTCCTTGTTTGATCCTGCGGGCTGCTGTTGCGCGTGCGGGCATGTGAGTGTGGTGCGGTAATGACTAGGACGGCGGGGTGGCTGTCGTGCAGGACGTGGTACCTGCCCGCGGAGGCGCAGCGGCCGGCCAACACGCGCGAGTACAAGAAGCGGGCGCTGCAGACCACGTTCAACAAGGTGCGCTGTGTGCGGGGCCGTCCTGCTTCTGCAGCACCTGGAGTAAACGGATTGGCCGGCCAGGAAGAGAGGGGCGGGGCAAGCACGCCTTGCCGGCGGGGCAAGCACAGTAGAGAGGGGCGCAGGGGCAGTCACGCACTCCTTGGATCTCCCTTGCTGCAGTGCTTCCACCCATGGACGCCGTCTCTGGTAGACTGACCCCATTGCTTGCATTGTGCAGATTGACGATGGGGCCATCCTTATTATCGACGTCGACGCCGCTCAGAATGATGCAATTGAGTTCACCCTCAAAGATGACTCCTGCAATGCCTGGTGAGTGTCTCGGCGCACCCCCCTTCCCTGTGGCCATCCCTGCAACACGGCCAGGCCTGTGCTTGTCCCCCCCCTTGTGCGGCGCGGCGGCCCCAGCTCACTCCTCTGTATAGCGCGGAGGCAGAGCGGCAGGCGAGCTGCGAATGTTGGTTGTGAAGACAAAGGGCCACCCTGAGCTGTGAGATGAGGAGGGAGGTGCCAAGCCAGATCTGGGTTTCTCTGGTGCTTGGGTCAGTCTTTGGCAGTTCCCAGAATGAAGCCCCTGTGAAGAGTTGCACCTGATGCGGCTGTTGTTGCCGTGTGGCGCAGGTTCAAGAACCGCGGCAGCAACTTCCGGGTGGAGGTGGGCAAGGGCGGCGCGGCGGCGCCCCCCGCGGCCAGCCCGGCCCCCGCGGCAGTGGACATCCCCAAGGAGCTGGTGGACATTCAGTCGTACCTGCGCTGGTGAGACAGCCGCCAAGCACAGTCAGAGCGCCGCAGATGGGATGCACAGGCTGGTGCAACCACTCTGATCGAGGCGCGGGATGGCTGGTCCGTCAGTGTGTGTTTGGTGAACTCTCACGCCGGAAACTGATATGAACGGACCTGGTCGTTGCGCGCTGCTGAGATGCCCGCGCGTGCGTGCAGGGAGCGTGCGGGGAAGCAGACCTACTCGTACGAGCAACAGGAGGTAAGGGCCCCAGCGGGGGCGGTGCGGAGGCCGCGCTGCGCCCAGGGTCTCTCAGGAACGCCCCAGGCTGGGCTGCACCGGCAAAGCCGGGCGCAACCTTGCGGCGGTGCCCTTGCGGGAGAAGCGCGCCTGCCGTCCTGTGAATGCTCACCTTTGGCGCTGATCGGTGCTCCTCGCTTGGTCTGCTCGGTCGAGGGTCAGCCTGCCGATGTGTCACAGTGTGCGAGAGAGCCGCCTGGTGTTGAAATGCCCGGCGCGTGCGTGTGCAGGCGGAGTACCGGGCGGCGCGCGAGGAGCTGGAGGCGCAGGTGCGCAGTGGGGCCACCCTGGAGGAGCTCAGGCAGCGCCTCAAGGGCGGGCCAGCCACCAACGGGGCAGCCAGCGGGAACGGCGCGGGCGCCTCGCAGGGAGCGGGCGGCGTGGCTGTTCCGGAGGACCTGGTGGGCATCCAGGCGTACCTGCGCTGGGAGCGGGGCGGCAAGAAGAACTACTCCCCCGAGGAGCAACAGGTGGGGCACCGCGCCCAGCGCCTCTTGGTGGAGTTGTGAAAGCTGGTCGAGCAAGTGTCGGTCTTGGACCACTGGTTGCACTCTCCCACTCACTTTCAGAGTCGCTGTCAGTCTGACCCTCCCCCCCTTCTGTCTCTTCTGACCCTTGAGCCCCCTGAGAACGCTCAGACCCCTTGGACGCAAGACTCTCACTATCGCTCTCGCTGCCGCCGAGACAGCGTCCAACTCCGAATTAACCCCGTGATACCTCTGGCGCTTAGAGCCTGCTTAACAGTCTGCGGATCGGCTGTCCACATCTTCCCGTCCTCGCTCCTCAACCTGCTCCTCCATCACGGGAGACAGCGGACACAGCGTCCTGCGCCCTGATTATGGCCTCACCTCCCGACAGCACATGGTCCCTGTCCAGGGTCACGAGTGTGGTTGCCGCGCTAGGGAAGCTCTCTTGGAGGGTTGCACTCTTCTTGCACTTCACAGGAAGCAAAAGGGCTTTTGGGGAGGCATGCTTGTGACGCCCAAAGAGACTTAGATTACTTCCGCCCAAGGCCTCAGTGGGCAGCGTTGGCCTCCCCAAAGGGTCCGCCTGCTTCACCTGTCGGCGAACCTCGCCCGGGAGGGTGCCTGACAGTGTCCTGACCGGGGGGTGCTGCCTTGTGCAGCGCGAGTACGAGGCGGCGCGCGCGGAGCTGCAGGCGGCGGTGGCGGGGGGCGCCAGCGTGGCGTCGCTTCGTGCTCAGCTGCAGGCCCCCAAGAAGGAGGCGCAGGCCGCCGCCGCGCAGAAGCCGCAGAGCCGCGTGCACATCGAGCGCAAGCAGTGGGACCCCGCGCAGCTCATCAACGCCCACACTGCGACTGCACACAGCCCCGGGACGGCTCCCCCCGCGCCTGCGCCCAAGGAGCCGACCCCGCTGGAGCTGGCCGCCGACGTGGTGATGGGCGCGGACGGGGCGACGGTGGTGAGCCGGCAAGTGATCCCAGTGGACGGCGGCGCGGTGCTGGTGCTGGTGACGGAGGAGGGGGGCGAGGTGACGGTGCACGTGGCCACCGACCTGCGCGAGCCGCTGGCGCTGCACTGGGCCGTGTCGCGCAAGGGGCAGGAATGGGGCAAGCCGCCGAGCAGCGTGGTCCCCGAGGGGTCGGCCGAGGTGGGCGGCAGCGTGGAGACGCCGCTGGCGCGCGGCTGGGGCGGCCAGGACAGCGTGCAGGCCGCGCACGTGGCGCTGGGCCGGGACGCGGGCGGCTTTGCCGCGCTGCCGTTTGTGCTGCACGCCGCGGCGGGCTGGTGGCTCAAGAACGGGGGCAAAGACTTCGTGGCCCCGCTCAAGAAGGCGCCCCCGCCGCCCCCAGCTGCGGACGTGGACGCGTCCAAGATGGCCAAGTGGCTCGTGGACGAGATTGCGGACTGCGAGAGGGAGGCCGAGAAGTCGTTCATGCACAGGTGCGGCCCGCCGCGCATGCTGCCGCTGCACCAGCCGGGTCAGCGCTCCGTGACGTCGTCAGGGCGTCGCCCCGCTCGGGCTACCCCCGCTTGGCTCGCGCGTTACTGCCCTGAGCCTTGAGGCTGGCGGCGAAGCGTGGTTGGCGCAGAGTAGCCAGCGTGCGCTCCCTGTTCTTGACTGCCCTGGGCTTCCTCCCCGCTCAGCGCCTGCGTGTGCTCCCCCTGCCTGACCCCCTCCGCTCGCCTTCCTGCAGGTTCAATCTCGCAGCCGGCTTTGCGGAGAAGGCGCGCGACGCGGGCTCTCTGGGCCTGGCGGCCGTCTTTGTGTGGCTGCGCTACTGCCAGACGCGCCAGCTCAACTGGAACGTCAACTACAACGTCAAGCCCAGGTGCACCGCCCCGGCCCCCCTCGTCCCTTCTGCTGGGACGCCTCGCCTCCGTCAGGGCGGCCTTGGCCTGCTCCCATCTCCCGGCGTGGCGCTGTTGCTGCTGGCGGCCTCGTCCCTGCGACCCCACGTGCTCCATCTGCTCGGACCTGCGCGCTCTCGTTCGCCCCACCGGGCCCCCCTGCGCCCTTGCCTCCAAGTCACCATGTCTGCGGCAGGCCCGACTATTTACGCCTGCCCTGGCCTCCCGCCTTGCGTGGGCGCCCGCTGATGGCGCGCGCGTGGCTGGTTGCAGGGAGATCAGCGCTGCGCAGAACAGGCTGACGGACGTGCTGGAGGGGCTGTATGCGACGCTGCCGGGCGAGCGCGAGCTGGTGCGCCTGGCGCTGAGCGCGATCGGGCGCGGCGGGGAGGGTGACGTGGGGCAGCGCATCCGCGACGAGATCCTGGTGGTGCAGCAGAACAACAACGCCAAGGGCGGCATGCTCGAGGAGTGGCACCAGAAGCTGCACAACAACACCTCGCCCGACGACGTCGTCATCTGCCAGGCGCTGCTCGACTACCTGGCCGCAGACCTGGACCTGGGCGCGTACTGGGCGCGCCTGGAGGCGGAGGGCGTGTCGCGCGAGCGGCTGGCCAGCTACGACCGTCCGATCGTGTCGGAGCCGCGGCTGAAGCCCGAGCAGAAGGAGGGCCTCATCCGCGACCTGGGCGCGTACCTCAAGACGCTCAAGGCCGTGCACTCCGGGGCCGACCTCGAGTCCGCCGCCGCCGCCGTGCTGGGCTACAAGCTGGACGCCATGCGGGTGAGCGGGCCGGCCCCAGCCGCGGGGAACAGGCAGGCCAACGGGGCTAGAGCAGGCCCCGAGGGGTCCGCAGCAGCTCCCCGCACACTTGTTGGGGGGAGAGGGTGCTGCTGGTCCGGTTGCCCGATCTGCCCCGGCCTGCTGGGCGCTGAAGCCTGGCCCTGCCTCTGTGTACCTGCTCTGTGCTTGGGACGCTCACTCTGGCGTGGGCTGCGGCGTGCGTGCAGGGCGGCCAGCATGGCGACATCCACGTGGAACCCGTGCCGGGCCTGGCACCCGAGCTGCCGGTACGGCCCCCTGACTGCCGCCGTCCCACTTCGGAAGCACCGCACCTTTCCACGACTGCTGCATGCGGCTGCACTGTGTGCGTCCTTGCACCTGCTGATTGCTGGAGAATCTCCGCTGAGTGGGGGCGTGGCTGCTGTGGGATGCTGCGCGTGCAGGCAGTCCCTCTGCTCGCGTTGTGCGCGCGCTGATGACCGCTGACGTCGCCTGCGGGTGGGCTGTGCGTGCAGGACCTGCTGGACTTCGTGCTGGAGCACATCAACGACGCGGAGCCGCTGCCGCTACTGCTGGTCAGCCCCCCCCTGCCCCGCCCCGTGATCAGTTGCAGGAGACCACGAGGACGGAACATTTGATCTACTCCTGCTCTGAGCTCGAGGTGCCAGGTAGCTGTGTGCGTGCTGGAGCCGTGGCTGACCGTCTTTCTCTGTGCTGTGCGCCGCAGGGCCTGGTGGAGGCGCGGCGCGAGCTGCGGCCGGCGCTGCAGGCGGGCGGCGACCGGCTCAAGGACTGCGTCTACCTGGACCTCGCGCTCGACTCGGCGGTGCGCACCACGGTGGAGCGCAGCCTGGCGGCGGTGGCGGCCGCGCCGGCGGCGGACCAAATGGGCCTGGCCGCGCTGGTGGTGGAGAACCTGTGCCTCTCGCTGGACGACAACGAGGAGCTCGTCTTCTGCCTCAAGGCCTGGATGGCGGCGGCGCCCGCCTGCCGCGCAAACGAGCCCCACTGGGCGCTGCGCGCCAAGGCCGTCATGGACCGCACGCGCCTCGCGCTGGCCGACATTGCCGAGCGCACCGCCGCGCTGCTGCAGCCCACCGCCACGTACATGGGCCACCGCCTCGGGGTCGCCTCCTGGGCGGTAAGGCCGCCCGCCGAGCAAGGCTGGCCCTGCTGCGACCGCCGTTCTGCCCCTGTCGGCTGTGCAGTCTCTCGTTCAGCCCCCTGCCCCACCCGCTCCTGCCGTTCCTCGCTTTTGCCTAGGACCGCCAGCTTGCCGCGCCAGTGCCCGGCTCCCTGCTGAGCGCTGCGGTGCCCCTGCTGTTGCAGGTGGACATCTTCTCGGAGGAGGTCATCCGCATGGGCTCCGCCGCGGCCCTCTCGCAGCTGCTGGCCCGCCTGGACCCCGTCCTGCGCGCCGCGGCCGACCTGGGTGCGTGGCAGGTGATCAGCCCGGTGGCGGTGGCGGGCGTGGTGCGCTGCGTGGATTCGCTGGGCGACGTGCAGGACGTGGTGTACGACGAGGCGACCATCCTGGTGGCGGGCCACGTCAGCGGCGAGGAGGAGATCCCCGACGGCGCTGTCGCCGTGCTCACGCCCGACATGCCCGACGTCCTCTCCCACGTCTCAGTGCGCGCGCGCAACGGCAAGGTCAGCAGGCCACCCCGCCCCGCGCCTGCGCCCGCCGTTGCCCGTCTGCTGCCCCACAAGCTGCACCTGCCGTGCCTCTGTTCCCAGCATGCCGCCTCAATCTCCGCAACCGCCGGCAAGGGTGGACACTGACGGCCCCCCTCGGGTCCCTGTTGCCTGCCTGCTTCCAGATCTGCTTCGCGACCTGCTTCGACGAGGGCGTGCTGGCGGAGCTGCGCGCTCTGGACGGCCGCGCGCTGCGGTTGGAGCCAGCCGCAGAGGACCTCAAGTACACCCCGATCGAGGCCGCGGAGGTGCAGCACAGCGCCGCGGGGGGAGGCGCGGACGACGACGTCCCCTCCGGGCTGAGCATCACCAAGAAGGCGTGGGCCGGCAAGTACGCGATCCCAGCCGACGACTTCACGCCCGACCTGGTGAGACACGGCCCCCGCCCGCCCGCCCGCCCGCCCGCCGCAGTCACTGGCAGCAGCGTGGGAGCAGCACCGTCCTGGCCTTGAGGCTGTCCCCCGGCCTCTCTGCGCGCCCCTGACCGGGCGCCTCTCTGTGGCGGCGTGCTGCAGGTGGGGGCCAAGTCGCGCAACCTGGCCGACCTGCGGGGGCGGCTCCCCGACTGGATCCACCTGCCCACGTCGGTGGCCATCCCCTTTGGCACGTTCGACCAGGTCCTGGCGGCGCCGCAGAACCGCGCCGTGGCCGCAGAGGTGAAGGCGTTGCAGGCGGCGCTGAAGGCGGGCCAGCACGAGAAGCTGGCGGAGCTGCGCAGCGCCGTGCTGGAGCTGGCGGCGCCCGAGGCCCTGGTGACGGAGCTGCGGGCCGCGTTCCAGGGCGCGGGCCTGCCGTGGCCGGGGGAGCAGGGCGAGGAGCGGTGGGAGGCCGCGTGGCGCGCCATCAAGAAGGTCAGCCCGGCCAGGAGCGGCACGGCCAGCCTCGTAGGGAGCGCTCTGCCGGGAAAGTGCGGCCACGCACGGTCAACCAGTGCGAGCCAGCTTGCTTTCCAGCGATTGTCGAAAGTAATCGTTTGGTCGTCTGCTGCGTGGTCGCCTTCAAGTGACAGCGGTGCAGTTAGCCTGCTCACCGCAAGTACTAGTTTGTTTTTCTTGATAGCACTTGTACCTACTGTTTTGTGCTGGGCGCTCTTCTTCTGTCGTGCCCCGCACTTGTTGCGCTCTGTGCCCGCTGCGCTGCGCCGCTGCTGACGCGCATGCCGACGCGGCTGCTCGCAGGTGTGGGCGTCCAAGTGGAATGAGCGCGCCTTCTTCAGCTGCCGCAAGGCGCGCATCAACCACGACGACCTGAGCATGGCCGTGCTGTGCCAGCAAGTCATCCGCGCCGACTACGCGTACGTCATCCACACCACCAACCCGTCGACGGGCGATGCGAGCGAGATCTACGCGGAGGTGGTGCGGGGCCTGGGGGAGACCCTGGTGGGCGCGTACCCGGGGCGGGCCCTCAGCTTCGCGGCGAGCAAGAGCGACCTTGCGCCGCGGGTAAGGCGGAGCACAGGCGGCCGGGGATACGCCCCCTGCACGGGAAGGCTGGCGCTTGGTTCTTCCGGCGGGCAGCCCCCGGTGCTTTGTCCTGGATCCTTTGAGGCTGCTTGTGTCCCTGCAACAAGCTGCGGCAAGCTGATATGCAGGCAGAGCAGAGTTATCAGAATTGCATGCACAGTGAAGGATTGGGGTTGTCCGCCGGAATTTGTTGGTCTTGCAAATGATCACCTCATCGAGAGCCGGCTGACAGCCAGGGGTCTGCCGTTTATACCGCACCTGATGGAGCTCTCGTCCTGAAGCGGAAAGAGAGGAGCGGACAGACATCCTGCTGCAGCCCGGCCGTAGGGCGATTGCATTGTGCAGTCTCCAAGCTTGCAGTCCCAGTCTTGCCTCCCCCCCGCCGGCAGGTATCCGCACGGCCGCTCCGCTGGGTCTCGGCTTGGCTGGGCCGCCGCTCTTGGCTCACTCCGTGCCTGCGCCGCGCTGCAGGTCCTCGGCTTCCCCAGCAAGCGGGTGGGCCTCTTCTGCCCCGACACGCTCATCTTCCGCTCGGACTCCAACGGAGAAGACCTGGAGGGATATGCGGGCGCAGGGCTGTACGACAGGTGAGCACATGCCGCACATGCGGCGCACAACGTGCTCGCAGGCGTGCACCTTGATTTAGGGCTGCTCCTTCACAAACCCTCGTGTCCGCAACTGGGCTGCGGACGCTGCTTCGATGTTATTGACTACGAGCTGTCTGCTCAGAGCATTCGACGGAATCAGAGCGCTTGCCGTGCCTTGCCTCTCGTGCGCTCGCTCCCCTTATCTTCAAGCTCTGCATTCCTCTGATTGGACTCACGGGGCGACATTGTTTCTTGGCAGTATCACGATGGATCCAGAGCAAGAAGAAAAAGTGGATTACTCCGTTGACAAGCTGCTGAACGACACGTCTTTCCAAAAAGATGTCCTGACGAGAATCGCGCAACTTGGAGATGCTGTTGAGAAGGCGCTCAAGAGTCCTCAGGATATCGAGGGGGTCGTCAAAGACGGAAAGTTGTACATGGTGCAGACACGGCCGCAGATGTAAGGCCACTAGGGGCGAATGTTTCTGTGCACCTTGTGCGATGCATAAGAGCGTGTTGCAAACCATCTGGACAATTGAGGAGCGATCTGGCTGGTACCTTCACGGGTGAGGTTCGAAAAGCTTGAGCAAGGTTTAGATTCTAAGACATCGTCTCTGGAAAGTAGCAACCTCGAATGCCGATTGAACCATGATTGACAGTTTATCAATATCGATATGGATTGCTTATGATCATCTCAGACGGTCTACTTTTGTGTAGAGCAAGCTGACCCAAGTCACTTGCATTTGATACTGCAACCCGCATGAGTTGATGGAGCCAACTGCAAGCCAATGTTGAGTCTACAATGGATGCTGCTTTTCCCTCTGCAATCCAGCATGTCATGTGCGCAACGTGGGGTGGGTTGCCAGTGCGTCAGCTGAAAGACGAGGTTTTGGTATCAGGCATTGGCCGTAGGTAAGATTCATGCATGCCGTCTTCAATTGATCACGAGTTGAAGCTGAGTCTGCTCCGATTGCATTTGCCAGCTCTGTTGTGTGTACACAGGAATGATCCTCGAAGCAACATCAAACTCAATCACTTCGTGCTAGCTCCATGGACGTATGGATACGGTTCAATTATACACTTTTAGCAGATGTTGCAATGTATATTTCTAGGTACAAGAAATGACACTTCAGGAAAAGTAAGCTTCAAGTTGCGAGCTAGGAATAGTAAGATCACCAGCCAGCCTGGGACGCGGGTATAGGGCCGGTCACTTACTAATTGGGGTTTAGGGCCTGGGTTAGTATCGGTGCGGAGTACGCAACTTTAATAGGTTAGGACTTGAGTGTTCAATTGATTTGCATGTGTTCCCATGAGGTGTCGCGACATTGCATATATGAACCCTTTTGCTGCCGGCATGTCACTTTAGTGCAGCTGATCGATCAGTGCATGAACATGGACAGGTACACGCACATGCATTTTCACGACAAGCCCTGGCATGGAGGCTAGACAATTGGGTCTACCGAAGGAATTAGCGACGACGTTTAAGCCAATCCAGTGACGAACTTTCAGACTTGTAAGCTAATAGCAAGCGATCAACGTATGCGTCACATGTTCGTACTTGATCTCGGGCAAGCAATAGTAAAAGACAACAATAGAAATTCAAACGGCCAAAGGTGGAGTTGTTGAGGCCGTCACTAGCAAGGGAATTATTGCAAGTTGTCGGAGGGCCTTCTCTTTTTGGAAGTATGCAATACATCACCAGATGGGTTAGCAGTACTCTTCAATGAACGCAAGATCAGCGTAATCGTCATTACACTCCTCAGTTGATTGTTTCAAATGCTTCAACAAGAACCGTACAACATTGATATACCTTTATGACACTGGCAACCGCTTCAACTTGCAGGCGGGACGCATTACCTGGAAAATGGTTTATACACATGCTAGTGCTGAGATCTTTTTTCAGGACTTCACGATCGCTGGTTATTGGATTAACGGGCACGCTACCAACTACATAATGATCTGTGGTGAAAGGATGCTGGCCTTAATCTCTTTGTGTGGCAAGACAACACCACCATTGCTGTAGACTTCGTCGGACATATGCACATCCTCCCCCAAGACTGTCATGTTCTCTACGCGAGCCCACTGACCGACAGTTGAGTGCCAGCCAATGATGCTCCCCGTGATGCAGGCATGCTTCTTCACACGCACTCCTCGCAGGATGGTGCAGCGAGATAGCCGCACTCCAGGCTCAATGTGACAGCCTGGTCCAATGGACACGTCAGGCCCAATGAGGCAGCCCTCTCCAATCTCTGCTGTCGAGTCAATCAGGACATTTCCAGTGACGTGCGCTCCGTTGGCCAGCCGTTCAGGGAATCTCTTGCGCAGGGATTCCAGATAAAGCTGCAGACCAGTGATGTAGTCCTTGGGCTGGCCGACGTCCATCCAGAATCCGGGAAGTTCCATGCAGAAGAGTTTGCCGTCAGCAGCCACCTTGGGGAAGACCTCCTTCTCGATCTGTACAAAACATGCGCCTCAATTTTGAGCACACGTCACAAAAAGATTGGTCATATGTCAATCATGTTCTGAAGCTCGACATCTCGTTTGGTTTCAAAGTTGGATTCATCACTCTGATTGTTGCATCAAAGAAGTTTGAAGTGCGCCCTGACATAAGCAACCCAGACGATGACACAGCGGATGCAGAAGATTAAATGAGACAAACCTTACAAAAAGAAATCCATCAACTACCACCAGCCTCTAAACCTCAATGTCAAGTCCTCAATAAGAGCAGCGGCAAGCACTTACACTTGTGGGGCGTAGCTCAATGCGATCAAGGATCGCCGGTTGGCAGATGTAAATACCAGCGTTGATCTTGTTCCCCACGAAGATCTGGGGTTTCTCAACAAAGCGATCGACGTTGCCAGTCTGCTCGTTGTAGACGACCACTCCATACTTGGAGGGTTCTTCCACCTGCCAGGAGGGCAACCGAGTGCTCGAAGCATTGCAACAGCGCAATTAACAGGAAGGCACTAACTGATCAGTTGCTCAAAAGTAGCTCGAAATCGATATCACAAAAAGCAGGAAAGGCAGACTACAAACGGTGCACATCGGCTGCTATTGGCTGAGGGTCAGAATTTGGTTAAGGGACTGAATTTGCGGTCAAGGAGCAGCTCTATCAAAAGATACCTGATGACGAAGAACTAACTTAGCAGATGCAGAAATCGAGACGGTACCTTGGTCACCATAATGGTTGCCTCTGCATTGTGTGCTTTGTGGAACTCCAGCATATCCTTCAGAGGATACTCGCTGATGACATCACTGTTGAGCACGAAAAAGGGGTCTCCCGACCCATCATCGAGAATCTCTCGAGCCAAGGCAAGAGGCCCTGCAGTTCCCATTGGTTCTGTCTCCTGAGAGCAGATGATCTTCACCCCCAGCTGCGCTTCAAATTCTCGCAAGAAGCCAAGCATAAGCTGCAAAACGGGTCAAGATCAGTCAGCTCCAGAGTGAATTTGCAGGGTGTCATCTTTCACGCTGCAGTCCACATTGTGCTCAGAAGGGGCACTCACCATGACAGGAAAATGCTTAAGGATCTGTCAAAATGTAGATCCAGAAGCATTCTTGAATCTCAAATGCAGTACCTATGAGAAGAGGGGGAAGCAAAACATGTGATCAACAAATCTAGATGCAGATTGAAGGAAAGGTTCATCAGGATGATGCTGAACAGCATTAAGCTCACACTGACTGTGCCTTGACAATGTTTCCTGAGACTCACTTTGAAGTCTAACCTTGGGAGCAACGACCTCAACGTAGCCAGCTTGTGTAGTCAAAGTGCCTTAGGGTGCAAGTACATTATGATAGATCAGGATGACTTACCTGATCAGAGCCGGAGAGCTACTTACCTGGGAAGGTCACTTTTTCCAGAATGAATCAAAAGCAAATAATCATGGTCTTGTGGACTACTCACCTCCGGCTGCAAGAAAAAGCTGTTTTCTCAGCAAACAGCAATGAAAGAATTAAATAAACATATTTGGCACACGTACTGTGCATTCACACAATCTGCAAGGATTGCTTTCACAGATGTGATGCAGAACGTTCCACGATTGAATCAAATGCTGTTCACAACCATATGACACAGGCAACATTGTGCGGCAACTTTTGGACTATGTGTTCAGATCTGAACTCACTTGATAGTTGATTGCCAGTACAACCTGCAGAACAAATGGATAAGGCTCTGTGTAAATATCAGTGGTTTTTGACATCTACAATGCACCAATGAAAGGACAACTATCGTCTCACATCAGCAACTATCCACAGTGCTGCCGGAAGGAGCAACATTCATCGACATTGGTGCAGTAACAAGCAACAAATCATGTTCAGATTACCTCACCTCAGTCGTTCCTGCAGCTTTCAGTGCTTCAATCTGATGCAAGATCATCGGCTTGTTGGCAAAGTCGACAAGCGGTTTTGGTACCGAGAGGGTAAGAGGCCTCAGGCGGGTGCCGAAGCCGCCAACAAGAATAAGCGCCTTCATAGCTGCAGTTTAAAGGACGAAGCACTTGAAGGGAAGCGGCACTTCACGCCTTGAGTGGAGTTTCTGTTGGCCGTAAGAATGCAAAAACGTAAGCTTCTCTTCAATGGCCAATGAGGTACTTGGACATGAAGCAGTACCTATCCAGGTTCTACAACTTGCGAGTTGAATGCCACCGGCCACTTGCGTATACTAGGGCCCAGCCTCCAGGCCAGGCCAGGGCACCGTCAGCCTGTCCTGCAGGACCCTGGTCCGTGGTACCTACCGGCTACCGCGGTGTAGGTACCTACCTACGCTTCAATGGTTCAACCACGATCCAAGCCGCATTTACCGCGCGGCAGATCCCGGTCACCGTACGGTCCGGTCTGGGCTACTCTGTGACTAGGAAGGAGGACTTGTACCTAGCTGCTTCCGAAATCAGAATCCGGCCTACGGGTTCAGGCCGGCTCGGTCCGTGGTACGTACCGCTCTATGATTGGACCGTGGAAGCGGTTGACTTGACTCCGGTCCATAACAATCGGGCTTGCTCAAGTTCGGACTAGCTCCGGTGATGACTTCTCGTCGGCGCACAAGCTAAGATTGACGTGATTTAAACCTAGTATGTATCGGACAGCTCGAGTACGAAAAGAGACCATCGATGATCGGACAGCTCGAGTTCTTTTGTTTCTTCTCAAAAGAATCCGTTGTCTGTTTTGCTACTACTCATCTGCCTCTTCACACTTTCTCGACTCTTCGTTCTCCAGTTCTCCCGACGAAGTTGTAAGTCTCGAATCCTCACGGGGAGGTCACGGGGCCTGCAGATCCGAAGAAAGAAAGAGACGAATGGGAAAATTGGAGACTGGGCGAAGGCTTGATTGTATATGCCAATGAGTAGGTAGAATGGTGCTGCACAATATACGGTGAATATACTCCTGTACTCCTCTTGCCATGATGTTCTATGAATGCGTTGCCACCGAGCAAAGCGTACGTTGGATAAACACGGGTATCCTGACTGACATGTCCAAAAGGACTTGACGCAAAACTGTTGTATACGCGCTAGGATGTGAACAAGGCAACTCAAACAAATGTTCCGGTGACCGCACACAGCCGGCATGTAATTCTGTAAAGAGATAAAATATAGGACTGGCCGGACTTAGAAGACTCAGTTGCAACTGAAGCATGCTGAGTTATAGAGCAGATACAACCGCATCTTCGGAACTTGCTGCATGATGATTAGCCTAAGACAGTTTACTATGACACGTGGCAATCCGACTTACACCGTTGCAGGGTGACAAGTCACGGTTGTGGCATATTGTACTATTGTATTTGATCAGTTTTGCTTGTAGCATCAAATTGCCGATTACCAGATCACACAATTAGTTGGTACACCATGACCAAGTTTTAGGAAACACTAAAAACGCGAGAGATTGCATTCCAAAGCTGAAAAGCTTTAACGTACTTCGATGGAATTGTTTGATCGGATCTATACGTACGGCCTTATATGAAAATTAAGTATACATTGAAGCGGCCAGGGCTTTATTATATATCTTCAATTAGAGCTTCAGTTGATCAAACGTAACGATCAGTGCACTCAAAAGTGGACCTCATTGAAGGCACAATCAAACACCACTCGAAAGATCTGCCGTTTTGCCAAATTGATATGATCGATATATCATATAAGCGATATTATTAACATCATTCCCGGAGTCCATCAGGTAGTTGAAGAGCTTGTGCGGACCTGATCGATCGGATCATGCATTAGGAGTTAGGAAAACACTCTTTGGTGTCCCGATCATCCACATTTGAAATCCTGAGCTTGCAAGTGTCATGCATGGAGTGCAAAAACGTGTACCTCACTCGTGAGCTTGCAAATGCTTTGACTGTCCCAGGTCTGCACCAGAACAACACGTTGCGCCTATGTAGTGACCAAGGCAAAGCTACATGATTGACGTCACAGGCTTGCTACAGTCAAGGTCCACTTCGATCACGAGCGAGCTCAGGCTTCACCCAGAGTGTGCAGCACACCCCGTTTCGGAGCCTAAGTCACTACCGTAGCTAGCTAAATACGGTGATCACATCAATCGCTACAAGGTGGCACGGAGCACTCCATACACCAAAAAGCGGCACATCATGTTATAGTTGGGTAAGAGGTGGCTTTGCAACTCGGATTGGGAACAGTGCCCCCAGTATCCGGCCAACTTTCGTTGAAAGATCGCAGTTCACTCGCAGCCAAAGCATCAACCAAGATTCCTCCTCAAGTATCTCGAATATACACTGGACTATGGCACGCCTAGTAGCACAAGGACTTTCAGCTTGTCAAGCTTCACTTACAGACGGTCTGCTGTAATGACCGCCGCTGCTTACTCCCTGTCCTCGTTCCTTAAAAACCCCTTGCTTCAATGAATGTAAGTTCGCGCTTGTGTTTGGCATGTGGCCACGATTATTCTGGGGCTTAAGGAGTCATTTATGCTTAGCGGTTCAGTAAGTAGCACAGGCCGTAGAGTTCTAATACCTAGAGGATGCCGTTGAGCAAGCGCTGGTAGTAATCATACTGGCGGGTGCGCCAGGCGTCCAGGCTACTGTTGATCAGGGATACGACCAACGAGACACATTGCTGCACGAAAACATCGAGACGGTGCTCAGCGGCATGCCCGCCGAAATAGATTCGAGAGTAACACAAGACTCGCAAGAATCTTAGAGACACCCAGCATGAGCTCGCAGTTGAGGAGCGCTCTTGCATTAAGCGACTGCTTGTAGAGCAGCTTGCCTTACCTGTTCAGTGAAGGTAAGCGCAAAGCGCTTCCTCAAGTTCTGTATACTTCGAACGCCACCCTTGAAACACGGGCATCCCGAATTCTGCATACACAGGTTGGAGCGAGGCGTTAGCAGCTGTCCCCGGAGCTGGGCCGGCCCGACCTGCCCTGCAGCCGCCATCAAAGCAGGAGCAGGCATTCCCGCACGCGGGGGAGAGCGGTGAGCGTCACCTGCATCATCTCGATGAGCACGATGATGCGCTCCGCGTGCTTGCGGCAGGCCAGGAAGCCGTGGATGCACAGCCGCGTGAAGTAGCTGAACGCCGCGCTCTCGCGGCCCTCCGCGTCCGAGTCCATCACCTGCACACGCACGCACGCGCAGGGACGCTCAGCCCGCGGTGTCGCAGGCGAGCGAGCGCCGACTGCAGTGCACAAGAGGAGCGCCCACGGCAGGTCCCTCGACCAAGCGAGCACGAGGCGGCACCCCCCGGACAGGAGCAGCCGGGGTGCAGCCTGGCCACGAAGGAGAGGGCGGGGGGGAGCCTGGGCGGCGTCGCGCTGACCTCGAGGAGCTCGCGGGTGAGCTTGAAGGGGGCGGACTCGAAGTTGACGCCGCCGGGCGAGTTGGAGAGCATGAAGCCGAAGTCGATGTGGATGATGTGGCCGTCCTCGTCCAGCAGCAGGTTGCCGTTGTGCCGGTCCTTCACCTGCACCGCAGCGGAGCGCCTCATGCCGCGACCAGGAGTGATGGGGAAGGGCGACCAAATAGCAAGCCGTGACGTGGAGAGGCAAGCACGGTCAGGTCTCTGCATGACGGTCCCGCAGCGCGTGATAGTGCCCCACAATTGTTAAAGCCTGGCAACAGATCTGGCCGAGAGCGGGACGGGCGCCACATAGACCTCATCTCGGTCGCCTGTGATGCACAGGCTACCATGGGTTGCTGCGATACCCTGGCTCACGCCGGCGCTGGTGCGCTGCATCGAGCCTGGTTTGCGGGCCTGACCTGCAGGAGGTAGCTCAGGATGGAGTAGCCCGCCATGCTCTCCACGAAGTTCCTCTGCACACCGCACAACCACGCGTCAGCACAGCGGGTCCCCTGCGCCCCGCTCCACCGGCCGCACTGCCGCAGCTGGCCGCTGATGGCGGGCGGGCAAGGCCACGGGCAGCATGGGAGCACACGCGGCATCGCCCGCAGAGTGAGCGCGGCTGAGTGGCCGCGCCGCGTACCTGGGCGGTGTGGTGCGCGGGGGTGTCGCGGCCGTACTTGGCGTGGAAATGGTCGCGCAGGCTGCCCCCGTTGGCGCATGCGGCGCTGCGGCTCTTGACGGCGTGGATGGAGATGGCGTCCGTGATGGTCTCGATCAGGGCCGTGCGCGACGAGGTCACCAGCACCTCGTACGGCCGCAGCCACAGCGGCAGGCCCGCCTCCGCATAGATGTCTGCACCACCCCGCGGCCGCGCGCATCAGCCCCGGCCGGCTGCCCGCATCGCAGCCGCTGCCCAGCAGGCCCTGGCTCCGCTCCATACCACCGGGCCAGCCGACAGCAAGCTCGACAAACAGCACAGGGGTCCGCACTTGTATATTCAGATCGGCACTCTCAGGCTGGCACACGATATTTAGGAGGTGGCCCCTCTGCGGAGTGGTCGCGAGGTGCTAACCTGCAAAGTGCGCCACGAGCTGCGCTGCGAGGTGCTCCTGCCGGCAGTCGTCCCCGCTCTTGACGATCACGCTGCGCAAGTCCCACCCGGGCGCCTTGCCGAACCGCGACTTGCGCCGGATGCGCGCCTTCTTCTCCTCCCACCGCTCGCCCAGCGTTTCCGCTGCCGTTGCACGGACCTCCCGCGCGTCCGCCAGCGCCGCGTCACTCGGGCGTGGGGTTGCAGAATCGCCGTTGCCCAGGACCGACGCCCACGCCTTGGCGGGCAGCTGCAGAGCAGGCGCGGATGAGGGGGGGTCAGAGGGGGCCACGCCTACGTGGCTCGCAGAGAGGGAGGGGTGACGCAGCATGGCGCACAGCCGGGATGCCGTGCGACAGTGATGCGACTGGGAAGGGGTCGGAGCACCTTCGGCAGCCGGGGGGCAAGCGGTGGAGGATCGGAACATGAGAATAACGCATGTGAGAGGGGCCTCCGCAGCGCTGCTGAGAGCTGCGCGCTGCAGTCAGTGTGTGGGGGGCCCCTCGACCAGAGTGTGCGCCCCCCTCAGGGCGGTCGCGACTCACGCTGGGGACAGGGGGCGCCATGCCTTTGGCCGCCATGGCCTTGGCCTCTGCGAACGCGACGGCACTGGGTATCCGCCGATGGTGCTTCTTCGCTCCGCCGCCCTTCCGGCCCTCGTCAACCTCCCCAAACTCGCTCATACTCGCGCCGGGCACTGCGCGCAGGCTCACCGTCACCCACGCCTCGTCGTCGACAGCAGCCTCTGCGCCCACCAAACACAGATCAGCTTAGGGGGAAGGCGCAACGCATGCCCCATTGCCACCGGATGGACTCAATGTCTGATATAGTTCCACAGTTTCAAACAAGGATCCATGCGCACAAGGCTTGCAGCCCCTCTGTCTGCCGCCTGCCCCCAAGCTGAGTCCGTGCTCGCCCCTCGCAGGCCCCTTCGGCGGGTGCGCTCACCTTCTGCATCCGACGAGCACGTGGGCACGACGCGTGCGCTGTTCTCTGCTCCTGGCGAGTCCGGGTCGCCATCCAGCGGCGCCGTGCCCAGGCGCACCTCCGCCTCGCCCGTGGAGACACTCCCGCTCTCCGACGGGTTGCGGGACCCCGTGCGCGACCCGCCCTCTCCCGCCGCCCACGCCGCCGTCTCCGACTCGTACCCTTCCAGCACGCTGCCGAAGCTCCACAGCCGACGGTGCGCGGGGCCAGCGCCGGGGATGGGGGGCAAGCTCGCCCCCCTGGTGGTGGCCTTGCCCTCGGCGGGGGGGCTGCCGCGCCTCTTCCTGCGGCGGCCCACCTTGAGCGCGACCTCCACCAGCTGGGCGGGGGGGTCCACGAGGCCGCCCAGCGCGGGGTCGGGCGGGGACAGCAGCTCCGGGGGGCCCAGCGGGAGGGCCCACGGGAGGGGCAGCGACGCGGCGCCGTCCCAGGAAACACGCCCCGGGCTGGCGCCCCCGCCGTTGGCTTGGCGCCACCACGCAGTGAGGCCCCCGTTGAGCAGCTTGGACGGGGCCGCCTGCTCGTTCTTGGACGCACTGCAAGGGCAGGCACCGCACAGGGAGTCAGAGCGGGAAGAGACGGGCATCCACTCCGCCGCCGCATCTGGCCCACCATAGCACCCCGAGCTGCAGTGGTGCTCCGGCGGGCGGCGCGGGGGCCGGTGGCAGCTCTCACCTGGGGTCGTCGTACTTGAGCACCTCGCAGCAGATCATGAAGGGCGCCTTGTCGCGCGAGTTGAGCAGCACGGCCTCGTCCTCGGGGATGTGCACCATGCGCGCAGGGCTGCCCAGCGGGAACACCATGCCTGCACCACCCACGCGCGGGCGTCAGGCAAGCAGCGGCCCTCACAAACAACCGAAGCATCTCAGCAATGTATTGCAGCAACTCGGTATAGTGCTTGCAGGCAGCGCGACCTTTTCCGGGTGACACTCCTAGGTGCGGGGCGAGCCAGGACGAACGCGCGGGTGCTTGGCGCTCACCTGAGTCGGGGCCTGCCAGCTCCAGGTGCGTGTTCAGCTCCGCGAGCGACTGCGGGAGAGGGCCACAGACAGGGTCACAGCCAGGGCCAGGAGGACACACGGGCAGCCACAGGCGGGCCCGCCTCAAGCCTCACCGCAGCGCTGGAGCCAACAGAGGGGCCGGGACACATACACACGGACAGCGACACACGTGATTTCAAAAAGCCGCGGTCCATGCAGGCTCCCAGAGGCCTCCCTGACCAAGCAGCTGAGTGAGTCAGGCGTGCTGCGTGCCTACCTGTCTCAGCGCCACCTGGCGGTCCGCCATTGGATACACATCCACCAGACCGGAGGAAGCATCACACAGGGCACGCACAAAGTCTTGTGTGGCGTGGATGATCCCCTGGCGGATGGAGAACGAGGGGTGCCGGGGCAGCCGCGGCTGCGCTGCCGCCTGCGCCAGAGCAGCCTGCAGCACAAGACAAGCGGTGAGGGGCAGGGGCCACACGCGGGCCGCCACACACACAGAGAAGCTGCACACGTAAGCCCCTGCTCAGCCAGGAGGAGCAGCCTGGCTGGGCGGGGGGGTGGCCCCCCTCTCCCAGCTCGTGGCCCGACGTGCGCAGCGGTGGCCCTCACCGCGCTGGGGGGGCTGAGCAGGGTGCCCTCGCGGCCCTTGGCGGCCGCCTCCTGCTCCAGCTTCTTCAGCCGCGCCACCGCCACGTCGCCGTTCCCCCACAGCAGGGCCGCCAGCCGGAACGTGTTCTTGCCCCCCTTCTCCCCCTTCCCCGCCACCATCGCCCGCTCTGCCTGGCCCGCCTGCTGTGCTCCGCCCTTGCCCGCCCTGCCCCCCGCTCCCGCGCGCGAAGGCTGCAGCTCCAGCGCATGCGTGCTAGGGCTGAAGTCGCCCACCCTGTCGGGCGTGGCCGCTGGGCTCGTGGTCTCTGAGCGGCTGTCCCCGCCATCCCCCCCGCCGCCCACGTCCACCTCCACAGTCAGCCCCCGCACTGCCGGCACTGCCTCCCCCGCGCTTCCCCCCTGCGCTGCGCTGGAGGGCCCCACTGAGGTGTCCGCCCCCACCGCCACTGCCGCGCTACCTCCCACCGTGCCCTCTGCATCGCCCCCCCGCTGTTGCGCTGTGCCAGCCTGGCACTCCTCCGCCTCATCGTTGCTGCTGCCCGCCTCATTCCCGCTGTCCCCGATGGTCGCCAGGGTCTGCTGCGCCTCCCTCTCGCGCCGGCTGCTGCCCACACTGCGGCTGCCGGGCTCGCGCTCGTCCGCGCTGCTCTCCCCACTACTCTCCACGCTGCGCTCGTGCGCATCCCGCCGCGAGCGCCACCGGAACCGCTTGCTGCTGCGCCGCCGGCTGGCCCGCTCGTCGGCACTCTCACTCTCCCCCATGCTCTCGGTCTCCTTCTCTCTGCAACACGGGGATGCCAGGTCAAGCATGCGACGGTACAGGCAAGCACAGCTCAGCTGAGGCCATTGCTTGCGCCAGCATGGGGCCGTCACATGTGCAGGGGTCAATGTCGCAGGCTTTCTGACACGAAACGCACGCGCTGGTACAGCAGCTATGTATTTGCTCCAATCCGTGAGCTCATTAGGGAGCATCCAGGGCAGCAGAATGGCAGCTACAAGGGTGTCAATTCGATGGAAACACTTTGGCAGCAGCGCCCACCGGGTGCAGCCCCTGCTCCCACTCCCCCCCGGCTGCTCGCGGAGGGGCACCTACCGGTCGCTGTAGCTGAATGTGAGGCGCCGCTTCCAGAAGCCGGGGCGCTCGTCCTCGCTGGTGCTGCCCACGCTCCGGAAACTGCGCAGCCGCTCGCCCTCGCCCTCGCCCTCGCTCTTGGTCACCACGCTCGGGCTGCGCAGTGGGTCAGCCTCCCCCTCGTCCTCACTTTTGCACACGGAGCGAGGGGCCCCGGTGGCCTCAACGCGAGACAGCTCGTCACAGTCCTCCCCATCCTCCCCCTCCGCTTTGTCTCGCCACAGCCTGCAAGATGAGCAATCGGCGTCAGTACCAAGCAACTTGACCTTGAAAGCACGCAGCCTTCAGTCAATCGAGGAATAGGTCCTGCATCAATCTGCATCCAACGTCGCCAGGGCGGGCGCAGAGTGGCCCAGAGTGCTTGCAAGAGAGTGGCCAGAGCCCGATGGTGGCCAGGCTCCGAGGGCGCGCCTCGTCCAGGCCCTCCCGCGATGCCTGCCCATCACCCTACCTCTTCCAGAAGCTGTCCTTGCCCTTGGACCCCTCTCCTTTGGGGGTTCTGCTCTTGGGAGACCCCTTGTCTCTCTCTTTGTCGCGCTCCTTCTTCAAGGCGTCCTTCTCCTTGCTAGTGTGCTTGCTCGGCGAGTCTTTGGTCTTAGAGCCTGGCATCAGGCGCCGCAGTGAGCTGCTCTTGGTCAGATCTGCCTCCTTCTCGTCGGACCGCGGGGTCAGCGGGCTCCCACTGAGGCTCTCTTTCCGTTCCCCGTCTGCTTTGCCGGGTGCCGGTAGGGCCGGACTCTTGGAGGCTGAGGATGACGACAGGGAGGGCAGGGAGGGCAGCGCCAGCAGCCGGCGGCCGCGCCCAAACCTCCTCCTCGCGTCGCCCTTGCCGGCCTTGCCCTTGAGCTTCCAGGGCGTGGGCGGCAGATGGCGAATGGCGGCCTCCTCGCAGATGCGCTGCAGGCGCTCCACCTCGGCGCGGGCGCTGGCATCTGCCAGGTCCTCCACCTCCGCCAGCAGCAACCAGTACACCTTGAGCGCAATGTGCAGGGAGCGCGTGCACAGGTCCACCACATAGCGCTCCAGCGAGGGGCTAGGGCACTGGATGAGCATGAAGCACAGCTGGAAGAGGTAGCGCTCCATGCCCGCCAGCGGCAGCGCGTACATTCGGTTGCACAAATAGTCGCGCACCCCACCGTGCTCGTACCGAAACAGGTACGACACCGCGATCCACTCGCAAAAGAATGCGGAATCAAAAAAGCGCAGGAGCCAGCTGCCATCCCCGGAGCTGCTGCCCCCTTGAGTGACATCCTTGGGCAGCTCCCCCCCCTCCGGTATGCCGGGGGGATACCCCAGCAGCATCGTAGCCCGGGTCAGGCAGGAGCAGCCGCACAAGCAGCACGCAGCATCGGGGTCAGCCAGACAGCCACCGGCAACCTGGAGAGCTTATCCCCGACCACAACATCTTGACTCCTCCTGCGCACAACTACGCACTGTCCAGATCACCTTCTTCCGGTGTGTGGCGTTCTAGCCTGGCAGACCCGCCATATCAAACAGGCCAGCCTTCCTACAACATCTGAACCACCTATCAAAGTTCTCATACAAGTGGCAGCCTTACCTCATAACAGTTCCTGCAAGATGATGACTTTGTTAACCGCCGCTTGCCGCCAAGCTGCAATCTAGAACGCGAGTCAGCTTCTCGTCCTCGCGTGTCCAAAATGTAGGCTGTGTAGCCCTGGCCCTGGGTATGTACAGCAGAGTCGGACAAGACCGTCTATCTTCCCTCAAAATTTTCCTTTGAAGGTAGTCATTTTGAACCTTCTGGGCTGACAAGCTGGACTCTGGAGTCTGGACTGTCTGGTGCAGTGCCAGCCTGCACTACCGTACCTACCGGTATACCTATCCGTACCGAGTCGCCGGCGGAAATGGTTAAGGTTGCGCGTCGACCGGAAACCTACTTGGCCTCAATGCGGTACACCTCGCCAAGCGCAAACCAACCGGCCACCCGGGCACAGCGCAGTACGTCCGGGTACCGCGGTCTGCGACCGCAAACCGCAACGCGATACAAGAACTGCGGTCTGCGACCGCAAACGCAGTCAATCTGGGGGGTTCTAAACCGTGGTTTCCAGATTTCGGTCGTTGGGACCGCGAACCGGGCGGGCAACCCACACATGATGAACCGCAAACCGCACATCGCGACCGCCCAGTCCAAGTCCGCAGCCTTGCGGTCTTAATATTCGGGGCGCCAGTCCCCGTCGGTTACCACCCGGGTAACCGGCAGGTTAAACAGGCGGACCGCAGACCCGCTCCGATGGCCGAAACGCTGTCACAGCGGTCCGATCTTCAGCTAATGAAGCCAGTCTAAGAGTGCAATTTGGGCTTTAGCTGTTGGCACCTAGGACCTGCCACGTGATCAAGACCTCTGGTATGGAAGTTGACGGAGCGATCTGCACCGTCCAATTCGTTAACGTCAACAAGATGGACGCTGGTGACAGCAAACAGGCTTGTCCCCCAGCTATTTAAGGAAATTGTATCTGCGGTCTACTCCCCTTTTTGGCATGCCATTTTCTTTGCTGTTCTGTGTGCGCCCGGGTGTGCGCGAGCGTACGCGTTATTGAAAATGGCGAAGCCATCAATATGGTGTCGTCCAAAGCCGCTGTACGACGTCGGGAAGCACTGGGCGACCGTGTACCTTGTACCATCGGGTTCAGAGCCGCCGTATCACCCTTTAATAGAAGCACCAGGCCATGAGTCCGGCGAGACTGAACCAGCTGGTACGGTACAGGGTGTAAATGTCAGTACCTGGTACCACGGGGACCACTCTATGAACTTTGAGTGCAGCAGTAGACTGCCGACACTTGCATAAAATTCTCG